CATTTGTCTGAGGAAATATCCTTCCAATTTAGTGGCATATGTGGAGGCACACTCACTTGAATGCATGGGTTTCCTTTTGGAAGCTGAACCGCCTCTGGAATGCGCTCCTCTGCCGCCGCCTGGGAGCTTATGTCTTCCACTGTAGTGGCGGTACTGGGCCTGGTGAGAGGCTTCTCGGGACGCTCCTGCAACCCTATAGGGGCGACCCTCCGTCCGAAAGGGCTTCTTGTAGCCAGGGACGGACTTCTTGAGTTCTGAAAAGGATCTCCTTGCCTTGTAACGGCCTTTAACCTCCTGAATGAACGAGGGACCGAATAGGTAAGAATCCTCCAAATTTGGGAACTCATGCGATTTGGGGGCTAGGTCGGACAGACCAGCTGCATGGAGCCAGCGGGATCTGCGGATGTTTGAAATGTAATTAAAGGATTGGCCAATAATTAGCACTGCCCTGCCAGACGCTTTTAAAAGGGCCATCTTAGATGCTAACAGGGATGAAGTGGAAGGTTTCTGAGCATTGCCTTCTTTTTCTGCTTTATCCAGCATCAGTAATAGTGGTCCCACAGCATCAGCAATTTTAAACTGTATATTGCGAAAAGTCTGGTCTGTGGGATCAGAGGATACGCTGCTCCCTGTGATGGATAACAGCGAAGGGTCTACCTCTGGGGCCATTAGAGCCTGAATGTCCGGGATACCGATGTGGTTCCTGAGGAGAAGGTCATCTTCCTTAACCAAGGGGGATCTGAAGGCTAGTTTAGCAAAATCTCTAACCTCGGAATCGTGCTCCATAGCCCATCTGGAGTGAAATAATTTTGATGGGAGAGTCTTTCCTAGGAGACTTACTCTGGCCATCTGAACATTGCTTAGCTTCCCTCGCTCAGTGGAAGCTGCTGAACGAACCACTTCCTCGGATTCCCAGTCTATTTCTGGAGAGCCGTATCTGGAACTGGGACGGCTTTGGGAAGAAGAGTGAGCGAACGCTCTAGAAGAGGAAGGAGAGGGACTATCTAACCTCCAACGAGATTTGCCCTTTTCCTCTGGGAGGTGTTTCTGGTGCTCAAACGAGGGAAACACGCTATTCCTTTTTTGAGGTCCTGTCCCCTTAAATTTTCGCTTACTCAAACGAGTATGAGGGGAAGGAGGAGCGGAGAAGTTTTCCTCAGACGAGGAACTGGCGGAAGAGACCAGCCGTCTTCCTTTATGCTTTTTATTTAAAACTGGGACCAAATCCTCCTCAGATGATGAAGAGGATAGATCCCTGGCAAGGAAAGCTCTCTTATGGAGCTTTATAACATTGATGGGGCTGCCTTTAAGGGAGGCATCCACTAAATCTGTGGCAGACACAGAAATAGAGTCCTCCATCAATGATGCCATTTTAAAAAATCTGAGGTAATCAGGATTCCCGCGCTCAGCACGGCTCTCCTGATTACCTGATTGGCTGAAAGGCTGTTGCTGTGCAGATGCACAGCGCGAGCCTTTTCAGCTCTGGCATTTGACTCCGGGAGGCTGCCGCATACCCACTAGCTTTGCTAGGTGGTTATGCCTCCCGGAGGACAAATATAGTCTCCTCTCCCCTCATTATACAGCCTTGCCCTCCTACACTGCTCTAAGGTAACTCAGGTTATGTCGTTTTCTTCACATGTCCATATATGTAAGCTTACATTATATATGTAATTGTTTCTGATAATTGAATAATGCATGTATTTATATTTTGAAAATCAATAACAATTTATTAAAAGAAAAATAAAGTGTTTGCTGCATGTAGTTTGCTGTATAACTCCTCTGCTTATATTTCCTGCCTTATTAACACATATGTTCCAGCTGACCTCTTCTCTATGCTAATATCCTATTACTGTCCCATTCTCATACTTGCACTTGCACCCCAGACTTGAACCTTCTGGGCAGCCCCTTCTTATTGAATGCCCTCTCACACCATTTCTGACTCTCCCAAACTCTGCCGTCCTTCAAAATATCATTAACATTTAAATCAAGGTAGAGTGACACCAGGTAAATATGACAGACTGGGTTGATGTAGGTACAGTTACAGTCTCTTATTTTAGTTTATTATATAATAGTTTTAGGGCTAATACGTTTGCTTATCAGTTTATCAGTAAGCATGTGTAAAGACATAGTAGCTCCTTACAAATGTATCCCTACTTTACATTCATATTTCCCAATCATTAGAGGTGTGACTTGTTTAAATACAATCACAAACCATATATAATAGTTGTGTTTTACGGACTGCGCAATAGGTGGCACTGTGACAAGTGTATATAGTTATATAATGAAGCACAGTTTGTTCCTATTCTTTTAGGACACTTGATTAAATGTCCCCATTACATTTCATTGTTCTTTTTGTAATCAAATACCTGTTTTACCAGTAAACTTTAACACCCTGCACTAATCATTTATTTTCAGCAATTGTAACTGCAAGACGGATCTAGATATACTGTAGGTATGGAAGACAGAGAAGGACTTTCTTCTTGTGGTATTCCAGTCAACTATGCTACACAATATTGAATTTCTCACTGAAAGCCCTCAAAGGTGAAAAAAATAATTGACCTGAAATGCTTATGCTAATTATTTAATTGATTGATTAGCTAAAAAAAGATTGGCTGCTATTGATAACAATCATTGTTGGAATAAGAGGTATGGGTATAATATGAAATTAGTTAGTACAAAGCCGCCATGTGACCTCCTGTTGTCATTATCAGCATGTGGTCTAACCACTTACACTATACTCACAGAATAACAATGTACTCAACACAACCAGTCTCTGCATTACTGACATCAGTAGAATCGAGGGCAGAAGAATCTGTCACAAAAACAGGAAATAAATAGGCCACATCCTGTCCAGACTTCAGCAGGCCCCTTGATGGGTATACTGAGAACATACATGTTCAGAAAAAATAAAAAACAAAAAATTTATTATGCAGTCATTCTGCAAGAGGCAAACATCATACCCACTAACACTCACACTTGACTCATTGTCAAGACATTCCCTTTATTTTTATTTATTTTGCTTTGAGGGGCTCTCACATGTCAGTAATATTCTGCGGCTCTGTGTTCTGCAGTCCAGGACTCGATTTACCCTGTTTAAAAAAAGTCTTTCTGAATATGCTGATGTGTTAGCTTGTTAACCACCAAGTTTATTGAATAAATACGACCTCTCCCTCGCCATATCTCCTCGAAAGGAATTAGAGGATACTGATATTCAATACTAATGCCTTCTACTCTTATCATCCTTGGACTTTGTACAGAATACCAAGGCAAGAACTATTCAAACTATCTATCACCTAAATCTATGTACAAGTAGTTTGTTGGCCAGGAATGGACTATTTCAACTATAAAAAATGTTTTTTACATTGTCTGTGACCGGGGTTATTGGTGTAGAAAGAGCTCCTAATATTACATAATGAAACCATGGTATTAGGTCAGTTGCATAAAATTAATTGTCAGCCAAATGCTGGCTATCAGCTGCAAAAAAAAAAAAAAAACATTAAAAGCCAAACAGACGTTTGGTGAGCAGCCAGACCTAGTGAAACCCTTCTGCACTGCAATCAGACACCTCTCACAGCCAACTGTCCCTAAAACGTTTTCATCAGAGCGTCTAAATATTGTGACATGATGAAAGTGTCTGAGTTGGTCCCAAAGGCAGCAGGCATAAAATATAGGACAAAAAAAGCAAAGGATACATGAAAAATTAAATGGTGTAGAATAGAAATAAAAACTCAATAGAACCAGTTTATTTGCTCAATTTATGCATCAGCTGCTGAGACTTTATATTTTATAATGTACAGTTTTTTTCACAACTTCACATGATGATTGTGTCAACATGCATGATAGAGTATATTTGCATGTATTATAGGGATGCGTTGTTCTGGTTGTGTGTTGTTTCCACACAGAAACAGTTGTATGATAAGGCAATACGGGGTGCAACAACACAGACACACACACAAACATAAGTACCCACAGACAGGCACACAGGCATAATTATGCAGACACAAAAACGCTTGCATGCAGACAAAAGAAATGCATTGTTAATCACACATATGATTAGACACTCAGAGACGTACATTTAGACATACATTTCTGCAAAGACTGTCATGCACTGACAAACAAACATGAACAGTTATATCCAGAGATAAACATACAGAAATATTAATGCACACAGACAAACACGCTTACACACAGAAACAAATATACACATTCATGCACAGAGGCTTGATTACAGAAACAAATGTGCAGACACAGTTTTTCACAGACATTAGGAAACCTATAGTTATGCTTACAGAAACAGACATACAGACAGAGTTACAGTGTTCTAAAAGTTATCTAAAAAGTACTGGTTTTCATCGTAGTAAATTCTGCTAGTTTTAGCAGAAATTTCGATTTCAGAAGACCACCAAATGTAGAGTGTTTGAAAAGTTTAAACTTCTGTTGGAAAAAGTGGCAGAAAGATTGGAGGGGAACCATGAGGGAGGAGAAACCATGAGGGTGGGGGGGACCTACGTACTACATAGTGCCATGAAAACGAGTATGTTTTCCTAGCAGTAGAGTGGTCCTTTAATAGATATTTTGCCAGAGAGATAGCCAGACAAAGAGCCGGATAGACAAAGATCGCTGGACACACAGATAGCCAGACAGACATAAAGACAGATATTGCTACCTGACATTAACTTTTTGGTTGTGTAATTGTATTAGTCTATAACTTTGTGTGTGTTCAGGCAGAAGGTGGATCTGACCATTGGAACTGCATAGACTTTGCCTTTTCTTATGTGAGCACTCAAACTACTTGTTTATGTTTTATTTGCCCTGTTTAAATGTCAACTTCCAAGGGAGAGATTAAACCACAATCTGTATAGGTATTGCCACTCTCAGGAACCATATAAATCAATGGAAGGGCAAGTTCCAGCAATTTGTCCCATTTTCCGTACACAACATAAACACACACAAAAAAACAAAACAAAAAAAAAAACATATATGTAGATTTATTATTTATTGTTCGACATCCACTTAAATCAACTGCTAATTGCTTTATCTACTATTTTATCTGTCTTTTATTTATTTATTTTATCAGATGTAGTTTGTTTTCTCCTTTTTTGTTTGTCTCTGTTCCTGTGAATGACTTGGTGATGTTCTGAGCCAATCATTGCATGTGTGGTGCTGGGACTCTAGCTCGTAGGTGGACAAGCTTACAGTAGACTTCCTGGAGAGGTATTGCCGGCACTACTGTTTTATTTATGATAAGACTTTCAAAGCAGATGCTCGGTAAGCAAAGAATAAAAGAACACATATTGATTTATATTTTATTTCACACATTGGAGCAAGGACAAGTGAGCACAATGTGATCTGGTGTAGCACTTGCTAAACATGACTAATAATAGAAAAAGTTTGGATCAGTAATTCCTAATGGCCAGGCAAAAAACAGGTCCTACCACCTCGGGCAACCTAGGAAAACATCTCGTACACGCATCATAGAAAAATCGAACACACTTTGGTACATTGACACAAATGTACACACATCTGCACACACAGAATATATTTGTGCATGCACATGTGCACCTGCATGTATGATCTGTCTATCTACCCCTCTGTCGTGCATCAATACACATTCACACATCATGGGCTCATGTTAACACCTTACTTCCTATCCTAAAACAAACAAAATCCATAATTGTAAACTCTTCTAGCCCACTACCTTTCCATTACATTAAATACATCTTACCCGTACTTCATGTACCCCACTTCACATAGAATGTAAGCTCTTTTGAGCAGGACTCTCAGCACCTTCTGTTTCTGTACGTTCACTTGTGATGTTGCAACTACTTGTTTGTTATCCATCTATTGTACAGCGCTGCTGAATTTGTTGGTGCCTCTATAAATAATACTAGTCACCAGTCTGATCCTGACAAGTGCTATTCAGACTTTCATTTCAGCAACCCTCGGAGGGTTGGGGGTACTCACTACCTCAATAGAGCTAACCTGTACATGAAATGCATCTCCTGTTCTGGCTCATAAATTATTAAGGAGGAAAAAAAAGAGCGTTATCCTGCGGCCAGCCATGCTGAACACTTATCATTAACTTGCATTAGGGAACCTAATACTGGCTTTTTCCCAGGTGCCCACAGGATTAGAATCACAACTCATAGAATAACTTCTTCCCTTAGCTACAGCATTTCACTTTAATAAAGAATTATAAAATACATACTGGTCCATAAGACAAAGAATATATAATATAAATGAATGAAGAATATGATAAAGTAAATGGTGTATATTTTCTGATGGTTATATAGTTTTCATGATGTGCCCGTTATTTCAGCGAGCTGATCACGTTTCCGATTTCCGTAATGCCCAGGTGGTGATACCATCCGTGCAATTATTGCTTGTAATGAACTGAGACTAATTTAGGGAAACTTCTGGGGGCCTTAAATTTGGGCAGAATCAGTTCTTTCCGTTGCTGACATTGATTGGAAATGCCGATCAGCACTGCTTAGTAGTAGATAGGGTCTCTTAAGCCACAGTAACTATACAAATGTATAGATGTGGTGTCAGTGGATTATAAATGTCTATATATACTCAATTATTATTACATTATTTACAGTCAGATGTTACCCTCGGAGCGGGATACCCATTGTGCTCCACTGTGATACATGGGGTTAATGGTAGAAAAAGGAGAATCCACACTGGATATTGTGGGCTGCAGTGGAGCAACTTCTTCAGGACAATATGAGGAAGTGGACCACAGAGGTCTTGAATGTACCATAATATCAAAAGTGGGGGTATTTCTTCGAGAACACCATGATGGCTGAGACATCTTTGGTTTCTTGCGCAGAACATTACTATATATATCATTTGACCTTTTTGGAATCTCATGTGTCCAGAAGTTCTTATGGGTAGGTATTGTAGGATATGGAAGGTCAGGTGAGGAATTCTCCTCAGAAGGCCTTTGGTTCTTTGAAAGCATAGTTGGTTGATGTTGCCAGTTCCGAGGAGGTGGAACAGGGGGAGGAGGAGGCAGCTGGTTTCTCTGAGGCAGAGGCCTATGGCAGTGAGCATTTCTCTGGGGCAAAGCATTGCGGTCTGTGTGGTTTTCCATAGACAAAGGATCAAAAGAAAGATGTCTTGAAATAACTGTATTTTGGTAAGGGTATATCATCCCCCTCCTCTTCCAATTTTGTTGAGTGTCCTCTCTCAGGCGATGTGTTCCCCTAATATAAAAGAGAAAGACAGAATTGTGGATCATTCTATGATTGTGTAAGAAGTGTTAGAAGTTAAACAGGTACCCCTCAGAGCATTTAATAGCTGCCAGCTTGTTACTTGTATATCCCTGTATTAGTTATGAAATCTTTGCATGGATACATAAACAGCGTAGTGGATTTAAATTTTCTAATTTTAGAGACTTTTTGGCAAAGTGATGTGCATATATCCATGTTCTTAAATTTGGGTTGCAACATGGGTCTTGGGCAAAGGTCCTGAACTGCTACTAACCCACTGGGAATGATATGGGGAAAAATAAGCTAAAAACAGGAGAATAAGATTTTGTAATTAAAATATTTAATATTTGTTTTGATACACTGAGGGATTTTCACTTAACTCTAAATGGTGGCAAACTGGAATCCAAAAGGCAACATTAAAATAGTCAAGCTATGACTATAAATTGGAATTTTTCCAGTTCAGTTGTTTTTGCCTTTTTTCTCCTTTAATTCGCTACAATTCAGAGTTTAGTTAGTGACTAAACTCCTGACTGAATATAGAGTCACTAAGAAATCAACCATATACCTGTGCACGGTGCTTCTAGTCTCTGTGCCGAATAGATAATGGAACATCCCCCACATCAAGCACACCAAATTATTGAGGCAAACTGTTATTCCCAAGTCTTTATCAACCTTGTCTGGTAGACAAAAAAGATTTCTCACAAATCTTCAACAACTCTCAGGCGCAACACAAGTTCCCCAAATCTTTAACAAAACACAACACAAGCCCCCTAAATCTTTAACAAAATACAACACAAGACCCCCAAATCTTCCACAAAATGTAACACAAGCCCCTCAAATCTTCCACAAAATGTAACATAAGCCCCCCCAAATCTTCCACAAAATACAACACATAAAAGGGTTTTACCCCTTTTTTCCAGTTTTTTGGTGTTTTAAGTTTGAGCACAAGGCTTAATTTTGTGCGTTTATATTTAATAATGTATTACATTGCAGCCACCGACTCCATGTGTTACATTTTAAGGGTTAGAAAGAGTACAGAGGTTTACCCGAATAACTCTTTTTACAGATTTTGCCTATTAGCTGAAGGCAGCAAGGTGAATGTTTAGTGTAGGACTCACCTAAGAGGTTTGCCATGATGTGGCAGGTGAGCTTGCACTTTAACGGCCATCGGATTGATACTAAAAAACCTCCAAATATTAAATTTGCGTAGGGATTTGGGATAGTGAGCAAATATAAATATTTCTTGGATTTCTTCGATGTCTTAATGTTTATATGAGGATTAATTAAATTACCGGGTGTTTGGCCCTATTTCGTCTCACCAAAACTTTCTTAAAGATTGCGAAATTTAATACGATGGGTCTGTGAGTCTAAATCTAAAACCGCTATTCAAATTAGTATGTTCACAGAAAGAACACTCCAGAGTCAGATTTAAAGCGGCACTGTCATGGCCGAATCCTGTTTTTTTTTTAACCCCCCCTCCCCCGACTCCACTACATCTAACCGACCCCCTAGTCATCCCCAAATTCCCCTTAACCCCACATATTACCTATTTTTTATCTTTATTTTCTGCCCCGATCTATATTCCGGGCACCGCCATCTTTGTGTGGGTAGATGAAGTCCTTGTGGGACACGTCATCTGCCCACACTAGACAGACTGTGAGATTCCCGCACATGCCCAGTGAAACACTTGTGCATGCAAACAGGAATTTCATCTATTCATTCATTCGTCAGAAAGACGAATGAATGAATAGCATTGTCAGACGAACAAACACTGAATATCAGTGTTCATTTGTTCATTCAGTTTATTACAAGGAGGGTGGGGGCCATAAAGATAATGGGGGGGGGACCTACTGTCCTCCCTCCCTGCCCCCACCCCTGGGTGGTGGGTGTGGCCCTAAGACAAATCCCCCCCCTCTGATTCCCCCCCACTGTCCTCCCCCACCCCTGGGCGGAGGGTGGGGGCCATAAAGATAATGAGGGGGGACCTACTGTCATTTTACACAGCGTGGGAAAGTTCTTTGGAATTTTCCCATGCTGTGTAAAATGACAAAGAGCACTCTAATTGGCTTAAACCAACCAATCAGAGTGTTCTAAGCCTAATTGCAGGGCGGGGCAAGGCTTTATAAGCCTTCCTCCGCCCTGCAGAGCTCAGTCTGCGTGGAGCCCTCCATGGGTGAAGAAGGATTCTTTTTTTTGCACTCAGGTTTTTTCTTTTTAGTCAGGTTTTTTTTGGCGCTTTATTTTATTTTAAGTTTGACGGGTATGATGGTTTTTATTTTACCACTATGGGTATTTAGACCCTTATAGGTTAATATATTTTTTTCTTTCCTCTTCACTTTATCCAGTGGCACCACCTTCTGACCACAACTCTTGCCTGCTTTTTCTCTAATACCTGTTTGCTTTCCATCTATATAGGTAACTTGGGATTACTAGGCAAGCTATTCAGTTCTAATTATCAATGCTTTATAGCCTTTAAATTAGAGCAAATAAAGGGCATAGTATATTCCGAGGTGGAGATTGTGCTGGTTCTAAACCATATTTATTTTCCTATTTCTATATTTATAGACATTTACATTTTTTTCTACATATAAACTCCATACCTCCCAAGTGGCCCTGTTTGGACTTAAATCCCTCTGTCCCTCTTTTCTAGGAGCTCCATATTGTTGTTGTGCCTGAGTGTATAACAGAGCTCCACACTAATAATATTGCCAGTAATGTGTCTTTAATCTACAAGAAATGTGTTTAGAAATCAGTCTACATTGTTCTTGTTCTAAATTACATTTTAGTGTATAAATTATTATTAGTGAGTCACCTAAGATTTCTCAAAGCAGCCCCACTCAATCCTTCAAATGAAAGTGTCCCTCTTTTTCTTTTTTTTTTTTTTTCTTTTTTTTTTACGTGCACAGCTACACCATGGATATTTGCAAAAGCGTTAGGGTGTCAATCAGAGTGCAGGAAAACATCCTTCAGATAACACATATGATAAATTGCACATTATTTTTTAGTTTATAATGACAGAATAGCTCAGTGCTGGTAGTTGAAGCTAAACAGATAAACTCTGTGATAAAGTATGACCCATGCACTGTGATAAAGTATGACCCATGCACTGTTGTAGATTCCACTAAGATCAGACTTTAAAATTATGAACATGCTTATAAGTAGATAGATGGTAAAATAAAACCACTGGGGTCCACTTTTAAATTATTAAGATCGCTTAGGGAAGTCACATGAGGGCTACAGCTTATTCAAAGATGTAAAGAAAAACAATTCAACATACATGAGCACCTAGATTTAAATACTGGCCCCTCAACCCACCCCCACCTCTGGTTTGTCTTGGTGTGTGTGAAGCTGAGTCCCTGCATTCTGGCAAGTCCACCACAAGCCACACCCCATCCTCCGTTGGCTTACGAGAGCTATGTGGACCAGTGTCAAAGTCTCTGGAGGAGCACACCAGGCGGCCTCCCGCATGCGCCCACTCTTTCTGGTTATCGGGTAGTGATGTGGAGATCCTCTCATTAAGGCACGAGATCCAGGTAAACATCTGTGGGAATCCAAACTGCTTGCCGAGTGGGTGGCAGCATGTGGTCGCACGCCCTTTTTCAGCATCTGGTGCAGTGTCTGCTTTGCAGCTTTGCGTCAATGTGGAACTTGGCACACCGCATGGGTGTATGGATGTCTGGGTGGTTGCGGCCCTGCCCGGGCAGGCAGCCTAAAGGAGGGACAGTGAGCTGGAGCTGCTGCTTGAGTCTGTGGTGGTACCGGTGAGGATGGCCGAGCGACATGACATATGAGTCCAGGAGTCGTGGCACCTCTTGTCAAATCTGGCCTCAAAGCCTTTTGCTAAATCTAGGCTCTCAGGGTTTGCTTGACTCAGTATGGGTTTCAGCGCAGCAGCCATCTTTGATTCGCCACGCGATTGAGATTGTGCTTGCTACTGCAGAGTATTTATGGTTCCCAGCGGGGACCGGGATAACTCCTACCGGTCCAAAGGGGGGAAGTAATTGGGTTCTAGTAGATTCACTTCAGGAGGCTCTGTCCAAAGCAGGAGATCGGCCACTTCTTCCTGCTAACAGGCCTGCAATCCTGGTAGGCCTCAGGGCCAGATAGTGTAATAAGCTTGCAAATGTTATTATTTTGGCACCCTTTGTGTCCCTTCTGTTAAAGGTGTCTTCTATGCTTGGCTCTGAGCTGTTTGCAGCTGTATTTTTGTAGTTTTAGCTGAAATATAGCACATTCTGGCAGGAGCTCATATGAATCACGTCAGGTCAGCTTGTGAGCTAGGCCTCGTCCCCCGAAAGTGTTCCACTTTGTCCACTATAAATGTTATCAAGGTATGAAACTATAATAGACCGTCCCTATATACTCACATAGCAGTACATATTCACACTTGTTATCATTAGATATTTTCGCCTAAAAGTTGCAATTATTTTGTCGTTTGTCCAAAATTGTGATCAAGTGAAAACTGGATTTAGAATTATAATGAAAAACAGCTGATTTGTAAATGTTCCAGTTTGTCTGTTTTAGTCTGAATTTGAAATCTGGTAAATGTGCAAGCCTATTTGCATACAGTTAGTTTGTGTGTGCGTGTAATCTTATACCACAAGCTACACAATATGTTGTTCTTCTTCTTCAGATCACAGGCTGTGGAAACATTTTCTGCAGAAAGATTTCCGCTGTGACTGCTGGGGTTTTACCTACTGCTAACATCCAGATTGCAATAAAACACTCATCGGTCCATTGTGTTAAAAAAAAATGAGCTATCGGAAATGTAACTTAATAAGAGCAATCCCAAAATTACCCCAATCTAAAAATCTAGAAGAAAATTTTACAACTAATAATGCATTTAGCGGGTATGTATTAGGGTTATTTAACACGGCATCATGAAAATAGCTAGTGAAAATAGCTGAATTTTAATGCCAATATACCATTTATTATCTGGTATAAGTATCTGCATTGGATTACAAAAATACATTCTGCACCATTAAAATCAAAGGAAGGACAATTTCTTTGTGGGGTATTTGCCCCCTTTGTCTTACGTGGAGGACGCTCATGCTCCTAGTATTTCATATTGTAAGGGAGAAGAGAGAACGCTATGGCTCGAGAGAGCACCCTAATCACTACCTAACCATACATTGTGGAGATGCCTTTGTCCAATATCACAACGCCATGGGACAAAACCTTGTAAACAATGCAGCTAAATGGAAGCCTGTCCAAGTGTTGTACTAGTAAGTTTCTTTGAAACATTTACATAGTTACATAGTTACATAGCTGAAAAGAGACTTGCGCCCATCGAGTTCAGCCTTCCTCACAAATGTTTTTGCTGTTGATCCAAAAGAAGGCAAAAATCTAGTCTGAAGCGCTTCCAATTTTGCAAAAAAAACTACATTACAGTATTAGCTGCTCATTGAATTTTCTTCAAAGTGTTCACTGTGTAATCTCTGTGCATGACATAATTTTGACATAATGTCATGACATAATGACATAATAAAACCTCTGGTATTATTAATGAATAACTAGCCGTTTGCCAGCGCCAACTGCAAAACTTGCAAGATTCACTTGAAATGCAGTTAATTTGGAATTAAAAATGTCAAGTATCATTAAGAGCAGAGTGAAATAGTCCTTACTGTGACAATGTTGCATGACGTCATCACCAAGTGGAAAACAGAGTGGTACAATGTGCTCAAATCTCACACCCCCTTAACTCTCATGACCACAGGGTTTTGAGGCTAAGAGTGATGTGGTTATCAGTCCATAGTATCTGTGGTGCAGTGACCCCTTACAACGATAGGCCTCTGGCCTAAAAACAATTGCCATGATGAATGGTGTTTGTTGATTCATAAAATGTTTTGCCATTTTTACTGCTAAGTTTTTTTTTTATGGCTGCCCCTGCTCAAATATCGCTAGGCTCATGTTTCATGGCTATTCCGAGGGTGTCACTTTACAAATCAGTTCATAGCGAAACGGTGCACATACAGAATCCAGGCACCTTGAGCACGTCAAGTCACTGAAGTGGTTATGGTGCTTGGAGTAATTCTTTAAACTGTGCCTTTCAAGAAAAACGTTTAGATTTCAACAATTTTTAAGCATGTCCTGGTACGGATTTAAACATGTTACATAGGAGATATACAATAAAAAAAATAAACCTAAAGACCATGCCCAAAACAAGGAAGAGTCTGCCAGCCACTGTTTGGTTGGATATTGTCGATGTAGGCCTCACCCAGAAAGACTCAGTGTATCAAAGTGTTCTAGAAAGATCAGGGAGATTTGAATGGAATGGTTGGACTTCCTCTTCTCTAATGGCGGTTGGCTGATTCTTCTGGTGTTTTTTGATAAGATGTTATATTAGATATTACCACCGATTTCATATAGAAAAAGTACTTTAAATAAATACATATTATTAGTAACCATAAAACAGGTCACTATTTTTGTTATTTAAATAATTCTCTTGATCTCTCAATGATATCAATAATGACCACCAATCCATTAAAACTAGGGTTCAGAACTGTGATATGTGAACCTACGCTTCATCAAACATTGTTATAATGAAATCCTACCAGGGGCTAGTTCCCATGCATGTCTGTAAAAAGCAAACATTAAACACTTTAAATACCAAAAGCTGGTAGATGTTTGCAGCTACTAAACCCCCCAGCCCACCTCCTTGGCACGCCTCCTTGGCAATCTCAACCAATCCTATGGAAAGGCATTGTGATTGGCTGAGATTGTCAGTTCACACAGTTTAAGCAGGATAAGAGGGGCGGACAGGGCGCTAAGTAGTGTTTTTAACACTATAGGGTCAGGAATACATGTTTGTGTTCCTCAGACTATAGTTTCCCTTTGAATAGAATAAGAATATAGAATAAATATAGAATAATAATAGATATATATTATTTTTTTCATTTATTTCTTTATTTTAATATAGGATGTATTGTGAGCTGCCAGTCACTAATAAGCCTTTTTCTTTTAACAGCCTTTTACAGCTAGATAAAGGAGGTGTAATATGTGGTGAAACCACAGCAGGTGGAACATTTTACCGTTTAGAACACAAACTAGGTGTTGCTTAGCTTTAAGTTTATCTTAACTACTATAGAAAATGTTAAAACATTTGGCACCCACAGACTGCTGGTCATTAAGCGTTAGCATTTGTAACACTGGACGGGTGCCAGGGACAACTATTTCAGTGATTATTGACTAGTCTCTAAATGACAATGACACGCAAGGAAATAAACCCTAACAGTCTCACCGGTTCCGGGTCCAGCAGATGTAACACAATATGACAAACGATCCCAAGAAGAAAAATCCACCCACCAAAAAGACCACCATCAGCTCGGATTTAAAATGTTGAGTCTCTGAAAGGAGGAAGGATTGTTACATGTCTGACGGTTTACTGTTTCTACATTGTTAAAACTGCTTGAATTGTCACATATAACACATATTATAACACTGATTTCTAGATCACCATACATCTACACATTGTCCCTTTTAATGTCTGACCCATTTGTAACAGGCCACCTCTGTCAATACAATAGACCATACGTCTGACTAAATTTAAAGTGCATTCTACGTATTTGTCACAATTCCTTCCACCGATGTCATCTCTAATACTCTATCCTCCCACCAGCACCATTATTATTATTATTATTATTATTGACATTTATAGAGTACCAACATATTATGCAGGGCTTTACAATATTTAAAAGGAGGAAATTAGACAATTACAAAATGTTCCAGGAACAATAGGTGAATGAGGACCCTAATTGGAAGAGCTTACAATCACCTCTACCTTGGGTCTTACCGTCGTGTCACCTATTTCCTTCACTTATACCACTATTACCCAAACTCTCACAGATTGCAGTTATATATTTCTATTGTTTTTACTGTGCCACTCTATTCTGTTATATCTGCCCTTTGCTATATCAATCTTGTCATTTTATTGCTGTCACTTTTTTCTGAAAGTTGCAAGTCTGTCATCTCTCTGAAGCATCCTTATATCTACCAACTCTTCCCCCATTTACCTGTGTCCACCTTCATGGTTACACAGCTCTCCGGGCTCCTTCCATATGGGTAAATTACCATCTCACAGCAAACCTCCATGTCCTCTTTAACCTCCAAGATGTAGGTTGTGTTTGCCTTCCAACTAAGTTTGGCAACTTCCTTGTAGGGAGACATAGTGTGAGTTCCATATAATGGACTCTGTGCCCCTATCATGCTATAAGACCCATTCGCGTGTTTTTCTTTCCAATGTAGCTGGACAATGCTCTCTTTTGTAGAATAAGGTGAGCAAGATAATACATAGATGCCCGAAGGTTGGATAGACATTTCTAGAACAGGTATGTGAACAGGTGGGTGCCCTGCAGACAGAAAGCAGAGGAAATAATGTGTTAGACAATCGTATTGTAAAGCAAATATATTATTCCATGTAAGACTATGTGCAACTACACTCTATTGTTTGCAGCATAAATATAATTATTTATATAGCGCCAACGTATTCACAGTGCTGTGCAAAAGGTAAACAAGATAAATATTTAATTCTAAAAAAACACGTATAGCATACGAGAACAGTGGGTGTAGAGGACCCTGCTAAATGAGCTTACCTTGTCACTCCAAACAAGACATGTTCTTTATACAATGTGAAAATAGGTCAAAGATAAAGATTACGAAGAAACAAAACATTTTGACATCTCTTGGGCTTCTGGCAAGATTGTAGATTCAATGTTTTCAGTCTGACCTCGATTTTATTCTCTATGTATTACAAAGTATTAATGCAAGACATGAAAGAAAAATATGTCACCATGTTATAGCGAGCTAGTTCCTTTAACATGGGATGGATTAAACAGCTCGATTATGCCAAACTGACTCTTCGCTATGTGCGCCTAGGGCATTTACTGCATGTCTAACAACTTCCTTTAGGGTCCAACCAAACCAAAAATAATTTTAAAAGGACTTTATAGCCACCAAAACAAATTTAGCTTAATGAAGCCGTTTTGGTGTATAGATCATGTTCCTGCAGTCTCACTGCTTAATTCCCTTCCATTTAGGCATTTACTTTGTTAATGCAGTCCTAGTTATACTTCCTTGCATGTTATACATCCTTCCTAAACGCTTCCTGTAAAGAGACATCTAATGCTTAAACTTCCTTTATTGTAAAGTTTCTTTAATTTAGAATTTCTTATCTCCTGCTCTGTTAATAGCTTGCTAGACCCTGCAGGAGCCTCCTGTGTGTGATTAACCACTTAAGGACCAAACTTCTGGAATAAAAGGGAATCATGACATGTCACACATGTCATGTGTCCTTAAGGGGTTAAAGTTCAATTTACAGAGCAGGAGATACAAAAAAAAAGTCTGATTGAATATGAAACCATGTGTTTATGCAGGCTGTGTGAGTCCCAGCCAGGGGAGGTGTGTCTAGGGTGCATAAACAGAATCAAAAGTTAGTTTTACACCTAAATTGCAGTGAATTGAGCAGTGCAAACTAATTAATTAAGCTAAAGTTGTTTTCATGTCTATGTGTCCCTTTAACAAACCAAATCCAATTTCCATAAAGGGGGTTCAAGGGTTTAGTTGGTCATAACAGCATAATTTTTTATCAGTAGTTATAAGGAACATTTTGACTTGGTGGCCTTTTTAAGGAGTACTAACTACTCCCAACTACTAGTGAATATTATATTATAATAAGCATTAGGATCACTTTAATCTAGCGTGATAAGATACGGTAGCTATTGTTTGCTGAATTTCTATCTGTTAAATAACTGTGTATGGGGCTATATTATTCTCGGTTTTGGAAGCAAAGGAAATGGGATGGTTGGACATGGTATCATGACTGCCCCACTCGATCCAAGAAAGAAGAAGAACAAGGTATGGTTTATAACAGGGTGTCTCAACCTTTTACGGAGAGGTACCCTTGCATGTTTAGTACCACTGACTCGAAAAAGTAATTTCTATTGATTTAAATTCCAAATGGAACACGCTAGATACAGATCTTTCAATTAAACTCATAGTGGAGAACAAGCCTGATTAATAAAAGTAAAGAATATTTTTATAATAAATGTGATATAAAGGGAATATTATGTATATAAGGAGGAGTGTATGATATATTAATCTGAAGTATGAACATCACCAAATGAACATAGGACACACTCACTGATTTGACACACACTGAGAGACGCTTACAGAGACACACATTCATTGACAGACACACACACAGTTACACACAGATGACACTGTCAAACACACTCACTGACAGACAGATTGACACACGCACTTACTGACACACACATTCACTGACACACAAACTATTACTGATTTGACACTAAAGGACAGACACATATTCAGTGTCAAAATACAGTTAAAGGGACAGCGCACACACAAAAAAGATATACAGTTTTAAACTTACAAGACTACTTAAAATCACCTATATATGCAAACAAACATGGGGATTCACTTACACCAAATGGCCATATGGTTTTAAACCTTTCACTACATCACAGCTCCCCATTATCAGGTACACTAATTTCAACATGGGAGATTTACATGCTAACTTGCAAATTTTTTTTAGCTTCAACTGCTTTCAAAGACTTCTCAATTTATGCTTTCCTGTAGTCGCCTCCAAAGGGGCACAGACAGTGACAGACACACACACTCGCTGATTAGACTTGCACTGACAGATACACATTCACTGATTTGACTCACACTAACAGGCACACACACTCACTGATTTGACACACACCGAAAGGAACACATTCGCTGACAGACACACATACTCACTGACAGACATGCTCACTGATTTGACACACACACATTCACTGACACACACATTCTCTCACAAACACTCACAATTTCTAATTTTTTTATTATTGTAATTTGTCCACCCCGCCTCCCTACCTTTGGGAGATCTGGAGTGGATCTTTCCCTGGGGTCCAGTGTGTGGCTCGTGTTCATACTCTTCAAGTATTGCCCCTGCATGTGCTGTTTAGTGATGCCAGGGCTGGAGGGACATCATAACCCATCTTTCGGCATCATAGCTGAACATGCCAGGGAGCAGTGCTGGAAGAGCGTGAAGAGAAGAGTACAGCTTCCTCGCCACCTCTATTCTTCCCCAGCTGGCTGCTCTTCCTGGGGGACTCATAAAGTGACCAGTTGGCCAGCTCTTGGTCAGCTCTTGACCAGTTGGCCAGCTCTTGCCTGTGATGCACATAATCCTAATGGTTGAGAAACTAGTGGTTAGAATTTAAGCCACAAAATGTTTTACTAATATTAATATGTACTGACTAGACAAAAAAAAGAAGAAAAGCAATGTAAAACCCACAGTACGGGGTATAAACAAACAAACAAATTTAAAGAAAGAAAAATAGTAAAACAGTAACTATACAATATTCTATTTTTTTTTGTGCATTTCACACTGAAGCCTGGTGGATCTTGAGTGACAAGAACAGAAGATAAGTGTTACAACTCGTTCTCGATGTCTGAGTGTCCATGGAACCCTGGGTGACCTAATAGGGTAATTAGAATTGCCAAAGAGAATATTGTATCAATAGCATTGACTTGTAATGATAATATACTCTTGCACACACACTTTGATGGTGTATATATAGAATGTGTTATATGTGTAAGATGAGACAATGAGACACTGATGCACAAAGGCAACGAACATCAAGGGCAGAATGTCTCCACCTAACATTCTGAATGTCCAGCAAATGCCATCAGTTGTAACATTTAACATCAATAACACTGTAAGAAATATAGACTTTGTATTTGCAAAGCTCGGTAGAATAAATATGTTTTGTTTTGCCAGTAGAGTCTGAGTTATATTTTTATGTGACACAGAAGACCATATGTATGGTTATAATGTCTGTTGCGCCGGTTTTACCAGAAGAAAGAACACTATGTATACATACCGTGTTTCCCAGAAAATAAGACCTACCCCGAAAATAAGCCCTAGCTGGATTATCGGGGTGGGCTGCAATATAAGCCCTACCCCGAAAATAAGACCTAGGCAGGGCCGGCGGCTGCCGGCCCTTTAAATGCCTCAGCCGCCTGAGCGCTCTATAGAGAGCACTCAGACGGCTGCCGCAGTGCCTCACCTCCCCTTCCCTGTAGCGTGGCCGAGCTCCTCTCCGGTCCGCGACCCGCCCGGACTGACAGGAAGTGCACACTGGGTGTGCACTTCCTGTCAATCCGGCCGGGTCGCGGACCGGAGAGGAGCTCGGCCACGCTACAGGGGAGGTGAGGAGAAGATTGGAGGGAGGGGGGGGATTTAGGGAGGGAGGGAGGGAGGGGGGATAATATTACAGGGAGGAGGGGGAGGAGGGAGATAACAGGAGGGGGTATAATATTACATTGAGGAAGGAGGGGGAGAGTATTACAGGGAGGGAGGGGGGAGATAATATTACAGGGAGGGAGGGGAGAATATTACAGGGAAGGGGGGTAATATTACAGGGAGGGAGAGTATTACAGGGAGGGAGAGTATTACAGGGAGGGAGGGGAGAATATTACAGGGAGGGAGGGGGGAGAGTATTACAGGGAGGGAGGGGGGGAGAGTATTACAGGGAGGGAGGGGGGGGATACATATTTACAGGGAGGGAGGGGGGAGAGTATTACAGGGAGGAAGGGAGGGGAGAATATTACAGGGAGGGAGGAGGAGAGGGAGATCTTAGTTACTGGGGTTACACAGCGTGGACACCGACTGACCGGCTGACAGACTGGCTCTAAGCCCTACCCTGAAAATAAGCCCTAGTGTGTTTTTTGTGACTAAAATTAATATAAGACCCGGTCTTATTTTCGGAGAAACACGGTATATGTAAAGTTTTAAGTATTATTTTAATTTTGTCTTTTTCTACACAAACCTTAATTTCAATAGGAAAATATAAAAAAAAAACATAAAAAAATAAAATGCACTCACTTCATGCTAAAATGGATTGTCACCACCAAGTGGGTCCTGTGGTAGAGTGATTACAAACTGTAAAGATAATGTCGTTTTCTGAGCTTCCCCCTGGTCTAAGCAGACATGGCCAAACTGAGCGCCCTCACTGCCAGCCACCAGTTAACATAATCCCTGGTACGGCCTCTGACCAGGGACTGGTAACTGAAGACGGCCGCTTGGAACTGTTCAGCAGATCTTCAACTGGGTAGCGATTGAACACCATGTGGACTAACAGGGAGCTATTTTGACCTGAGGGCAGCTGGGTGTGTTGGGTGCAGTGGCTATGGTGAACTAAGGGGAAACTGAAGCCCCAGACATTCCACTACCAAAGGGGTAGTGCAGGACTGATCGAATTAGCCCCAGAATTGATAGTGCTTGGGAGGGCTATTATTTTCTTTCACCTAATCACCCACTGCAGTTTCAATACACATTTTACTGTATATAAATATATGTGAGCTGTTCCAATACAACACACTTGGTTTTACTCTCACCAAGTCTTAGATACTGTACGGGGATAAGGGCGATATTCTCTTCACTGTACTCAGCAATTAGAAGGAGGGAAACCACCAGAGGTACTTGCATTGAGTACCCGAGCTCTGCTACACCTACATATGCTCCAGATCTATTTATCTATAAAATTATTTCAAAGTCGAGTTAGGTTTATCCCCACATAGCACAAGTTGCAGCACTAATAGGCCTCATAGACTGTTGAAGCAGGTTTATAAAGCAATAGAGTCCGTTCACCAGTCCAAGCCCCGGGCACCTGGAAAAATGTTTTTCCGCTTTGCGTAGCTTTAGTGTGTGAAAACGAAAACGCAAAGAATGACAGCACTCAAGTGATGACGCCATTATTCTTTTTATGTTTTGCCATTATCAAATAATGTAACCTAATTGGGACGACCTCTGGAACATGTCTCCTTAATTGGTTCATACACTAATAATGCAGACAGATTAATACTATAACATTAGATTATTACTTTACTATAATGATACTACCGTACTGTTACATATAGTTTACTACTGTAATATTTTGTACTTGCTGTTACATGTAGTTATTAATAATCTTGCTGTTAGAATTTTGGTTGACAAATACTTTTTTTTTTACTCAGCTCTACCCACCCACCCTCCCCGGTTCCTTCTAACTATATAGCATGCACATCCAGCTGTTTGGAACCATAGCCAATCACCTCCTCATTGCCTTCACATGCTATCAGCTGCTGCAGTTATACTATTAACTCTCTCTGCCATCACATACAAATCCCTTTGCTACCTCTTGTTTCATCTCCTCAGTTTAACCTTTAGATTGTAAGCTCATGGGCAGGGCCCTCTGCCTGTTGTATCGCTCTGTTCTTATTGTGTTTGTCTTTTTCCCAATTGTAAAGCGCTGCAGAATATGTTGGCGCTTTATAAATACAATATATAGGGTGGATCCAACTATGGGAAATAGTGCAACTCTGTGGAACCCAGATAGAGTAATTATTAGTGCCAATGGGTCACTCACACTTTGACTGAATAAAAAGGGCATTCGGCAATCATTGGAGATCTAAAGTTGTGCCTTTCTCTTAGTAGTTGATATTGCAGGTCTCAGCAGTATGTAAAATAAATACCTGTATTTGATGCTGACTTTTTTTTACTTCTGTGTAAGTAATAAATATTTTTATACTATACTTTAATCTGCAATCACCTTATTCTGGATGCACTTTATTTTACATACTGCTGAGACCTGCGATATCAAGTACTAAGAGAGAGACACAACTTTAGATCTCCAATGATTGCCGAATGCCCTTTTTATTCAGTCAAAGTGTGAGTGACCCATTGGCACTAATAATTACTCTATCTGGGTTCCACAGAGTTCCACTATGTTTTATTCTTATTCCCCGTGGTTGGATCCATCCTATATATTGTATGCATACTTGTTGAAGAGTTGAGGAGATCTTCGGGTTATGTCCATTACTAGAAGGGAATATATATGTATATTTTTTATATGCACCTTCAACTCACTTCAACACTATAACATCTAAATTTTTGCTACTACATAGCAAATATTGCATTGTATTTAATAATCTGTTGTTTGTGATATAGTGAAAGTTTTGGCGCTTTATAAATGCCAGTAATAAATAAATACTAGCTCCAAACACATTTCATCAGTATTGGCTCAGAGGAAGTAACTATTGGCAAAAAGCATTCAGCGGCTGGGCAAGCGAAAAAAAAAGCAAGTGCCCAAATTTGCACAATATTCTCTTCAATCCAGACCAGCTATGCAGGCAGTGTTAGTAAAATGGTCATTTATTGTCATGTAAACAGGTCAATAAATTATTGTTTCTGAAATACTGCCTGTGTGCCCATTGCTATCTATAACCTATTTTTAAATGTGCAAATCTAAGTGTTCATTTGGAAAATATGTCAAAGTGTCCCTCTGCAGATCATCCTTGCCATTTGTGAAATTCATTAAAGAAGATTTTATTAAATTTCTTTTGGGAAGCAATTTCTTATAATTGATGAAAAGCCTAGATTTTGAAATTTGATTATTTTTCAAAAGTTATTTTACCCCCAAAAAAGGCAAATATTGCACCATAATAGGTTTAGAACATGTAAAAAAAGATTTGAAGCATCATCTGTGTAAAAAAAACTGTTCCTGATTTCCGTATAAAATGAAGCTGGGAAATGTTTCTCCAAAGCTCAGTCGCTAAATAGCTCTTTTGAATTCCCTACTGATGCACCCGCGAAACCTTTGTAGATTTATTTCTTAATCAAGAAACTGATATTTGCCAGAAGTCAAAATTCTCTTTTTAGTGTTAAACCACTTTTTAGCCTATTTAGTAACATGGTTACTAACTGAAGTGAGTACTCACAGTCAATTCAAAGTAAATTTAGCCATTTTATTAAAATTAGCTAAAACTAGAACAATTCTCTAAGTTAGTGAAGCTTCCACTTTGGCTACGTTCGGTGTCCTTAAACGTGAAATTCTCTTTGAAATCACATGGAATTCTCACTTTAGCAAATAACTCTATAAATGTAAAATTGTAAACTCAGACTAGCCACACAAACAATTATCCAAGTCTCCAAAATGTATAGTTTAGGCCAGGGCTTCTCAAACTTTTATGGGCCGAGACCCACTTTTGAAAACAGTAATTTTTTGAGACCCACTTGCTTTTAACTCTCACATGGCCGGGGGGCTTCCAGGGGGTCGGACGTGCCGCGGGGGGCTCCCTGGGAGTCCCCCCAACCGCGATCGCCGGCGTGGGATCGCCGGCGACAGGGTAAGTAGGAAAAGACCGGAGGGCGTACTATTACGCCCGGCAGCGTTTAGAGCCACTTAGAATAGGGCGTAATAGTACACCCTCCGGTCTTAAGGGGTTAAAGGCAGAAAATTAGCACATCATGGCAATCAGTCAATCAGTTATAGAGGCATACAATTGGCACAACATGGAATTCATCTTTAAAAGCATACAATTGGCACACCATGACAATCTGCTTTAGAGGCATAACATTGGCACACCATGGCAATCCTTTTTAGATGCATAAAATTGCCACATCATGGCAATCGGCTTTAGATGCATAAAATTAGCATATGGCAGCTTTAGAAGCATAAAATTGGCACATAATGGGAATTAGCTTTAGAAGCATACAATTGGCCCACCATAGAAATCAGCATTAGATGCATACAACTGGCACACCATGGCAATCCGCTTTAGAGGCATAAAACTGGCACACCATGGCAATCAGCTTTAGAGGCCTACAATTGGCACACCATGACAATCAGCTTTAGATGCATACAATTGGCACACCATGACAATCCACTTTAGAGGCATAAACTAGGCACACCATGGCAATCAGTTTTTGATGCATAAAACTGGCACACCATGGCATTCAGCTTGAGATGCATAAACCTGGCATATCATGGCAGTATTAGAGGCATCATTTTGGTATATCATGGCAGTTTTAGTGGCAGAAACTTGGCATATCACGGTAATCTGTTTTAGAGGCATACAACTAGTTACCCACAGACTCAGGCATGTGTAGTGTTGGTGTTTGAATGAAGGGGTGTTTATATATAATTTTAGTGTTTTAATACAGGGGTGTGTTTGTTGCGTTTGACTGCAGTGCATGTGTAGTGGATACAGTATGTGTATATTGTGTATTTAAAAATATATACAATGTGTGTTTGAATGTAAGCATGGAGTATGTGTGTGAATGTACATGTTTGAATGCAGGTATGCATTTGTGTGTAGTGTATACACTTCCACACACACTGAGACACATACTCATACAGTGACACACACGCATGCAAATAGACAGACACACAAATACCCAGACTGACAAAGCAGTACACATGCAATTACACGTTACACACACAGATAAACAGACACTCATGTACACAGAAACACAAATTCAGACACACACACACAGGGTAGGTGAGGGTGACAGTGTGGGGTAGGTGAGGGTGACAGTGTGAGGGGGAAGAGAGGGTGACAGTGGAGAGAGGAGGTGAGAGTGACAGTGTTGTGAGGGTGACAGTGTGGGGGGAGGCGAGGGTGACAGTATGGGGGGAGGTAAGGGTGACAGGGTGGGGAGGGAAGTGAGGGTGACCCTGTTGGGGGTAAGGTGACCCTGTTGGGGGTGGGTGACAGTGGGGGAGGTGAGGGTGACAGTGTGGGGGTGAGGGGTGACAATGTAGGGGAGGTGAGGTGGGGGTGACAATGTGAGCATGACAGTGTGGGGAGGTGAAGTGTGACAGTCTGGGAGGTGAGGGTGACAGTGGGGGGAGGTGAGAGTGACAATGTGGGGGGCAGGTAGAGTGACAATGTGGGGGGTGAGGGTGACAATGTGGGGAGGTGAGGGTGACAATATGGGGGGAGGTGAGGGTGACAATGTGGGGGAGTTGAGGGTGACAATATGGGGAGAGGTGGGGTGACAGTATGTGGGAGGTGAGGGTAACAGTGTGGGGGGAGGTGAGGGTGACAATGTGGGGGGAAGGTGAGGGTGACAGTGTGGGGGGGAGGTGAGGGTGACAGTATGTGGGGGGGTGAGGGTGACAGTGTGGGGAGCAGGCCATGCAGACATAGTCTCGCATGTGAAGTCTCATAGCGTTACCACGGTAACCCACAGTAACGCTCTGTGACTGGCCAAGCTCACTGACAGTTACTGCATGGTCTGCCCGCGGCAGAGGGGAAGCTGCAGACCGGAAGGTGCACAAGGCTTTCTCCCCGTTTCAGAGGAGCCCTGATCCCAGCGGCACATATTGCAAGCCGTTAGGCACCCTCGAGGGTCTGACTGTCTCCCTTAGTGGGTCGGTGCGACCCACCAGAAATCAGCCAGCGACCCACCTGACTGTCTCCCGGCGTGGGTCAGTGCGACCCACCAGAAATCAGCCGGCGACCCACAGTTGTGGAAACCTTGGTTTAGGCATTTTAGACAAAAATGTTACATTTAAGTTTAGTTCTCTTTAAAGTTCCAACATTGTGGCTTAGTCGGTGGCTAGAAATATGGGGAGAACGTTTACGGGATTTGCAACTCTTACACCAGGCATAGGCAACCTTCGGCACCGCAGATGTTTTGGACTACACCTCCCATGATGCTTTTGCCAGCATTATGGGTGTAAGAGCATTATGGGGGATGTAGTCCACAACTTCTGGAGTGCTGAAGGTTGCCTACCCCTGTCTTAGACAAAAAATTTCACAACTGGAAAAAACAAAACAGCTCTGCTATTTTTCCAGGTTCATAACTCCTCCTCAATTTCTTCACCGATTTCGTCAAATTTAACCTTTCAAAAAAGGGTTTAATGTACTATAGAATGTATCCCTTCACTGACACAGAAGATAAATCTATTTGCCGTATTAACCTGTATCCTTGCTGCTGTAAGGTTTTGTCTATTTACCTATGAATAATAATAAAAAAAAAAAGATATATACTGCATGTGAGACAATTATAGATGTAATAGGAATTAAGGATTTAATGCCAAAGCAACCATTTTGGAAAAAAAAATATCAGTTCCGCTATTTTAGATTAAAATGTTTATTCTATTGTTCATTCTTCTCAAATTCCAGGTTAGTTAATTAACTAATTACTGTTATATCTGGTTCGCCTTATCTGAATATTATTTCCCCAATTCATTTTAAGTTTCCAATTCATATGGTGAGCAATAAGAAAAATGTTCTAACATATTGTTGGGAAACAAGTTTACCTGTGTAGTTAATTTGCTTAAAATTTATATAAAAAAATTTAAATACCAACTACCCAGTTTATTAACAGACACAAGAAATCACAAATATTGGTTATCCTTAAACTTTGTCTCAAGCGAATTAAAAAGTTTATCTCGAGTACAGTGGAAATGTGCATGTTATCCTTAATATGGTTATTGCAAGAGGGATAGAGAGGGAATTCACCGATAATTATATATCAGATGCATTCACACACACGGACACGGACACACACACAGACACACAAACAAACATCCTTTAGCTGGTAACGATATTATTTATAACATTGTATTTACTGCCAGTCAGTCTCAGCACATCCAATCTGATATTCCAATTTCACCCCTTCTACTTGGACAACCACGTGTCTCACCTGGACAGGCACCTCCGAAAACCAGAAGTAGAATTATTATGAGTCTTCCCATCCTTAGATGAAGCGGGGAAGAGACTGAGTGAAGGAGGAAGGAAAGGCTGCATGAGACAAGGTACTAAAACAGGAAAGAGGGGGAGAAAAAGTGAGAATGAACTACAAAGAGAATGGTGAGAGTGCGCAAGAGAGAGATGAGGGGGTTGATAAAATGAGAGGAAAAAGGAGGAGCAGAAATACTTCTGTAACTAGTGGAAGGTTCTGCTGTGAAAATAACAGTGCTATGATCAGTTAGAACAACATAAAGAAAGGATAGGAGAAGTGATTAAAAGACGAAGAAAAAAAGAGAAAGTGAAAGACAGAAATAAAGGGAATGAGAGAGACAGAGACACACACAAAGAGAGAGGGGTAGTATGATTAAGACAAAGGATTGAGAAGAAAGGGACACGCAACAGTGTAATAGTTTTCATTTTATCTGAGAGTACAACACCTCTGTTATAGTGTCCCATAGAGCCTACTGCTTTCAGAAGAACAGATTCACTTGGAACTGATCAGTTGCAGTGCCCGGTAAACACCTCTACTATTGTGCAGGGGACGCTCTATCCAGTGAGTAACATAGCTGTACAAACTTCCATGGAACATTTCAGTGGCATAATCAAACTTAATACATTTTCTAAGTACATCTCCTAAGATTCTATGCACAATTGAAGACATTTATTAAAGTGCAGAGAACATGAGAACTCTGAGAACGGACAAAAGCTTAGAGAAACTCAGCTTGCCGTTGGGTAAATCCCTGCTCAGGTCTCAAAATAATTTTGCTCGCTTGTGCCATTACAAAGAGAATATATGCCATTTGTATATCAGACTGAAACACACATAAGAGCAGTCCACAAGTGAAATGTTGGCAAGTCCAGAGATACAACAACCCCGGACAATCATTTTGGCCTCATCAACTGTAATCCATGTCTGCATTACAGTTTTTAACCCAACTTGCATTTGCTTGGGCACTCCCTAATCTAAAAGGGTGAACCAGATGTGGACCTCATGCTCACTGTACCTGGAGGAGTATGAGCTACACCTCGCTGATGAAGTCCAAAACGATCATCTGTGGCTCTCATAGTCTCGGTTTTTATCAAAGTGGTCTGAAAAATGACAGTTAGATTCAATTTTTGTTATTTAAATTTATTAATAAATGTTCTTAAAGTGAAATTTTTAGTTGTAAATTCCATCAGCTTTTGCAGAAATTCCATTTTATTTTTTAAAAAGGGAAGTGAATAATAAAAATGTCTCAGGAAAAGTAGCTTAAAAATTGATAAACCATTGCATCACCAAAAAAAAAAAAAAGACAAAAAAATACATATACATTTAAAATGCCGGTTATGGTAAAAAAAAATAAGCAACTTTAATAAGTGTCCCCTATTATATAATTACTTCTTTCTGCTATATATGGAGAATATCTTTTTATCTTCCTTTATTTATATATTGCAGAAATAATCTGTTTTCTCTGAAAACACAATAAATATCGAGTTATTAAAAAAAAAAATGGTCAAAACATTAATTTTCAATAAAATGATATAAAAAATGATTGCGTCTCTCGGTGTAGATTTTTTTTCTTGCATGTTGATTAATCCAGGCTTTGCTGTGATCTTCACAGTGATGGCGGGAGAAGAATAAGGTAGGAGATTTAGGTAAATGATTTTAGGAGATTTAGAGAGAGGTCATGTCAGAGCTGGTAGATGACTCTATCAAGACGTAGCCAGATGACGTTCCTTCCTTGCTCTGTAGCTTCAGTACAGAACTTTGATTTGACTCCCCCACTGGACATGGGACAGATACACTACCAAGAAGGATGTCCCTCATCAACCGAGACAGCCAAACCTGAAAGATGTATAGATCAATTCAAGAGTTGAACACAAAAAAGTTGCAATGAACACAAAGAACACTATTAAAGATATAGCATGGAATAAGGCCAAGAGGCCTGTGTTTAGAAATCAGCACCCGAAGGACCACCAGCTAAGATGTTATTTTACAAACATCAGATGACATTGTTTGTATGCTAACATATAGTCGCTATTAAAGATAAACTTGATTTTATCCTACCAATAAGTTGTTTCATTGATCATTTCACAGTTTTAATGCTCTACCACATCTTACATTTAGAATCTTGGCCTTCTCAATGACTGATCCCACTATCTACAGTCTGTAATGAATACTCTTGTCAATCCTTACACTGGTTTCCTGGTAGGTATGTCCCTTCTCAGTCTCTCAGCTCTGCTGGTGACCTTCTCCTGACCACTGCTTGCACCCTTCCTGCTAACTCACGCCTGCAGGACTTCTCGCAGGTGGCTCCTTTCCTTTGGAACTGCCTGTCTATCCCCATCAAACTCTCTCCTAGTTTTAATTCATTTAAAAGTCCCTTAAAAACCCTGTCATCAGAAAAGCGTATGGCCTCCCAAAGCTTTAAAAGCGATAGTCTTGCTTTGGTTGGTTTGGTCCCACCATATGTTATTCGCAGTAGTAAATGACATGTGACAGTTAAGGCAAGCAGAAGGTTGGAAAGATGAGTGGAAGAGATAAGGTATGACTCACCTTTACAACTAGAGGTCTACGCTCATTCTTCCGATAAAAAACACCTTTCAGGTCAAATTCTGGATTGCGGCCTTTTACAGTTTTAGATGTCACCTTCTCCCCTTCACAGTGAATGGTAACGTAAACACTAGGGTCTTGCAAAGGAGAAATCAGACAGTGTTAATTCTACCTTTGGTAGTTGTCCATACATCCCAAAGCCCCCAACTAATAGAGAGATAAAAAAAAGAGTGGAACACATACATACCATGGTTGCTTCCTGGTTGTGAGAGTCCAGATGCTGCATGTACAGTAATGGAGGTGACAGTTCTAGGCGTGCCAAGGCAGAATGACAGACAGGAAGGCTTGGGGACATCACGTGTGAGCTCCCTATGAATATAAATAATTTCTAAAAATATTGGAAAATACATACTGGTACACTTTATATGTTTAGATATGTCATAAGAAATACATGGTTTAAAACTGTTTAGGAGAAACATATTCAGAAACTGTACTGACTATCAGACTCTTGAATTGTTAAGTGGTTAGAATACTGACTTAATGATAGATGGCAGAGTTGTAATGAATGGAGTACAATTAAATGAGGGACAGTTATTGAGTGTTTTTAGCTTACGAAGACACTCTGGACCCCTAAAGCACATTAGCTCACTGAAATGCTTTACATGTGAAGAAAGCACCCTCTCATTATCATTTTACAAGAAGTAAAGATTTCAATGGATATTGGTACTTTTATAAATTAACCTTGTGACACCCCCTGGCTTTCAAACAAACAGACAACCAATCATGTTACTTTCTTTCCTGTTCCTTCCTCGAGTGAAGCTAAAATTACACAGAACGCCTGCCTTGCAAAGGGCTCGTTGAGCTGCATTGGGATGTCTGCGATTGGACAGTCACCGAAAGGTTATGCTGGGGAAGAAAGCGATACAGATTTAAATCTGAATGTAGCCCATGGGACAGCGCAACAGCGGAATGGGCCTTGACAGGGCCAGGAGTTAGGCATGGGAAGAGTTAAGTGGGAAGGTTTAGTCCAGTCATATATAACACGGCCATCTTGAGAAGTGGCCATCTTAATCAAATCTGCACTAACCTGTTAGTTGTCCCACCTACCCTCCCCTTTTTGAGTAGCTCATAGAGGATAGTGTTCCCTGTTTCTTCACAGCGGCAGGGAATGGCAAGGTTAAATTGGGAGCTACATGGAGTAGGAAGTGGGGCATGGATAGGTTTAAGATGATTTAGGCAGGAGTTTACCTGGTTGGTAGGTTCAAGCTCTTTGGTGGCTCCAAACCTGGTGGTGTAGCGGTGTCCTGGTACACCCCTGCAGTTTATCATTGGAAATGGGGTCGTATGGACGGCCATGTTATTTGTTATGTATACTGTTATATACTGTTTATTGATGGGTCATTGCCAGGGGAGATTATGGTTTTAAAATGCTATGATGATTGTTGGCAATGACCCCAATTGTTATAATTTATGATATATTTCATAAAGCTGTGAACAAATAATTCCAACAGTAGAAATTTGTGTCTGTGGTTTTTTTGGGTCTGGGTAATGGTTTATAGATATGCCGTGATACGACGGTGCGCATGTCAAGCTTTTCATAGAAAGTGTAACATAAGGACAAGGGGTCATAATCTCAACATTTTAGTTTAGTTTAGGACCATAAGCACAGTTTGTTGGCTGATCCATGACAGACTTCAAGTGGATGTGGTCAAGACAAAATCTGTAAAGGATTTTAACAAGGTTTGGTGTGCCCACAATGGTATACGAAGAACTAATTATGTTTCCAGTTCAAATGCGAGTTTCTACACAAATATAAATAGGAGCTTGCATGGCAGATACAGTTTCCTTTCCAGGAGGAATATTAAAGGGTGTGTATTTGTGTAACGGTGCCATGAAAATAATATATACTGGTGTTGATTAGAACGTATTATAGAAATTTAAAGGGACACTATGCACCCAGGCCGCTTCACCTCAATGAAGTCTGTTTAACGCTGTAATGAAACACATCACTGTTTTACCACAACTATAGTGTTTACATTGCAGGGTTTAAATGCCTCTGGTGGCTGTCTCTCTAACAGTGACACTCTGGAGGCATTTCTAACGAAATAGCCGAGTGAAACTCAGATGGAGTCATTGCCATCTGATTGGTGCAGTGTTTTGCCGCACATGCTCACCAACCTCCCAAGGTTTTCATACGGGAAAGCATTGTATTGGCAGAGATCTTCAAAATGGATTATTTCAGCCAATGACGCTGGGGCCAGCCACAGAGAGAGGCTTGGTGTAATATACAGAAAAGTAAACTATATTTTTAATCCTTGCATGGGGGGTGGGGGATGACCAACACAGTAACTAGGACACGTGTGTTTTTCTAAAGCTATAGTGTCCCTTTAAGCAGTAAATTAAGTAATGAAGTTAGGGTAGGGCTTTCCAATAGGTTTACATTTTGTGTGTGAGTAATTTTGTCTCTTCCTCTCCAGACATATCCATCCAGTTCTCCGCCTTACAGCAGGAGTGACTAAGCTGTCCAGACCCAGGGAAAGAGATTAGAATGAGAACAAAGTCAACGTCAATTCATACTCAACAATATGGAGCTTGCAGGTTATTCTGGTTCTAGGTTTCAAGGATCACTATACTGTCATGAATACAAATGTATTCCTAAAACTATAGTTCTGATAGGGCTGTTCAGATCACCGCTCCCCTTGCCCCGGTTAAAAATGTGTCTAAATTCACCTTATTTCCAGTGCCACGCCATTCTCGCCTGGCTGACCACACTACGCTCTGTCTCCTTGGTTGAGATCATGAAATTTGACTATAGCGCATGCGCGGCCACTCGCTGCACCAATCAGCATCTCCTCACAGATGCTTTGAATCAATGCATTCCTGGTGGGAATATTCAGCATCTCCATGCAGAGCGTGAAGACACCGAATCAGGAAGCCCCTCTAGTGGCCATGTAAGTGACTGTCACTAGAGGTATTCCTAGGCTGTAACGTAAACGTAAAAAAGGGGATTAAAAAGAGCCTGCAGGGACAGGCTGTAGACATCAGAATGAAGGTGTAGTAGTTCTACTGGCTATAGTATCCCTTTAATTTAAAAAAAAAAAAAAAAAACACACACACACACACACAATTAGTCCCTCAATGTATATGAGTAACCAGGGACAGGTACCCTGGTGAAGGGTTAGCCCACATAGAATTGAACTACTTTAATCCTCTTCTACACAATAAAAGAGATAAAAACAACATAAATTCTAGTGCTCAAACTCCTCTACTCCTTGGCAGAAGCAATGGCTTTAGTATCAGCCCAAATACACAGTATAAAAAAAATAAAAAATGTTACAGCAAGAAAATGGTCTACATCTTATCATAGCACACCCCTGGTGGAAACCTGTGGAAATGCAGTTAAAAACTAAAGTGAAAATAGCTTTTCAGTTATACATTTTTTAGTAATACAAAATTATATTTTCTGTAAAATGATGGCTGGCAATCATCACGCGTTTCCCATATGTTTTACTGCATCCCATAGATGCTGAATATTGTTATACCTGAGTCTGATGGCTCGGTCTGTATAGACTCGGAGGAGAAATGAGCCAGTTTGACCTGGGCTGAAGGTTGTCGGTAAGATGATGTAACGGCCTTTCTGTAACTCTGTGCGCAGAAATACACTGCGAGAATTGATGTAAGTGGAGGATGAGACCCTGCTGGCCTGCCGGTGTAGGCGGTATATTCGGTTTATCTCCACCTGATGGAAGAAAAAGAAGACGGTTGGCTAGTACCCCTAGGCCATTGTCCACTCATTATCGTTATACTCTATCATCTTTCCTTCCATAAGATAGCTGGAGGCTGTAGAATTTGGTGTATTCACAAATAAAAAAAAATATATATAGTTGTACACAGACAGAGATATCCACAAAAATGGGAATTGCTAAGAATAATAATAAAAAATAATAATAATTAAAGGTCAATATAACCAAATTCAAAACAAAAAGTATTTTTTAAGTCAACTATTTTGGCCTTAATTTTGAATACCTCACAATTTCCATTTAAACAATCCTGCATATCATGTTAAAGGAATGGTGTCCTGCCAGATCATGTAAAATGATGTGAGTTAGAATTAACAAGATACAACACTGTATCTCATTATTCCTTCACCACAAGGCAAGTTTATTTTATTATCATGCACTTATTTACACACATTTGCTGGAACCCATACACAATGCAATGACGTATACAAAAACAAAACCTGTAAAATACGCCTCAGGGGCAGCAAAGTTAATTATGAAGCCAATTTTCTTTCTTGATGTTGTGACTCCAAGACATGGATAGATTTTCTACTTTAATTGACTATATGGTCACTGACTGCGTCTTAACATGGGAAGGTCTCAATGACAGATAAACATCTCTGAACCGGATTTTTATTTGCACTGAGGGTGAATGGAGTCTATTAAATACAAGTGGCTTTTTTTAAACTACGAGTTACCATATCTAATATCCCGCTGAGCTAATTTACGGTTTTTGTAAGTGTTATTGCTTGTATATTCTAGGATACAGATGCACACAGTCTCAAATCACCAGACATGGCTGGATTTCTGATTAGCCACACTAGCCCAGTTTTGCTCATTCCATGTTCACCCTCCAAGTTCCATACTGCCCAAAATTCTTCAGATAATTATATTGTTCCTAATTTAGAGTGTGGGGTACGAATCCCTGCAAAGTAAATCTACTTAACTAGGTCCTGGAAGGAACAATAATCTACTTTTAAACAGCAATTAATATAAAATTTATCACAAATATAGATATCTAAATATTATCATCATTTATATAGCCCCAACATATTATGCAACTCTTTATAATTAAATCATATAATTAAGTAATTTAAATATTGAATATAACAGGGACAAGAAGTGAAGAAGGCCATGTTTAAACTAGCTTACAACAAAGTTGTGATAAGGAGCAAGGGAACTAACTGTACGAGTGCTCTCCAGCTCTTCCTTGTCCTGTTAGTTATATTAGTTGAGCAATTGCTGTAGACAGAGGGGTGGCAAAAAGTTTTTTTTTGTTTTTTTTTACCTTAAATACAAAGAACCCGATGGGAAGATTTTCTCCCCCACCAATGCTGCGTTGAGTCCTACGATCCTCTTGCTCCAGGGAAATTAGAGCACACTCCTGATTTAACGTCACATCAAAAACAAACTGGAAAGAGAGATTTTAAAAACAAATGTAGTGCAGGTAGGTTGCCACTGTACTTGTTTCGATATCATCTCAATATGAGTTAGCGTTAAAAACTATGGAATAGTAATAGATGATGTTTACATTGTGAAATTTACCAGTCTACACAGTCTACAACTCTACACATATAAGCTGATTAATTGTGACTGAATGGCCTAATACATATACACACACACACACACACACCTATTTCAATTTTAAGGCCAACATTGCCAAACCGGAAGCATGGCTGACTGGGAGAATTTGTCCAGGTTGTGGTTTTGCTATGGCTATGGGCTACTTTTTCCATAAATTTAGAATTCACTTTGAATTCACCTGGAGCTCTCAATTTAGTGAAGAACTCTGTATGTTTGTTCTTTTGGTCGATAGCTCAATGTAAGAGTGGACATCTATGGGTGGTGTAATGAAGCACACGTGTGGTATTGGTGGGTATTTTGAGTAGCTATATGCAAGGTGAATACCTGTGGGTTGTGTAGGTAGGTGTCCTTATAGTTAGGGCAACCTCCACTTCGGTCTTTCAATGGATCTGGATCTTGTTTCCATGTAGACATGACTGACACCTCACTCCAGGTTTTGTGAGTG